AAGTGTTGGGTGTTGTTATTCACTATGGAAAATTGTATGAATATTAATTAACATGTGGAGGCATCTCCGAAGAGTGTTACATTTTTGCAATTTACTAGTCATATCTTTAAAATGATATGATAAATGTTTTGAAACCACCTTTAGAGATCATTTGAATGATTTTCTCTCCCCTTCAATACTGTATTAACAAAATAATATTTTCCCTTACAATAAAATGATAAGATTTTCATTGATATAAAGCAGAAGCATCTTTAATGGGAAAGTAAAGCGCTGATATTAGAATTACTTAACTCAACATTTTTAAAATCAAGTTTTAAGAAATATTGTATAATTAGATTATTAAAATGTTTAGCATTAACACTTGTTCTAAAAGTATTTCAGGCTAAAATAGATTTCTTTAGTTAGAAAAAATTACTGGGTATTTGCTAAGTGACTGACATTCTTCTGGATACTACAGATACAAAAGAAAGAAATATATTTATTTTATTACATGGACAATAAAAACACACAAAAAAAAGTTTAAAAAGTTTATTGGATAAAAAGAAAGCACTCGAAATGTAAAACAAAAGTGAGCCAGGGGTGAGGTGTGACAATAAAATTTTAAATCATGAATGAGGAAAAAATAACTGAGCAAAACACATGCAAATAGACAAATGGGCAAGCCACAGAGGTTGGGGAGAAACACTAAATCTTCCATGGAGCCCACATTAAGATGCAAGTATTCATTTAGCTCATGTTTTCTGGAATACACCTAAAATTGTTACTAAGAAATTTATAATCTAATCCCAGAAGTGCTTCCTTATAAAATATGGCTATATACCAAGAATGACCAAGATTTTACCAAGAATCCTAAATTAGATGTATCTATCATATTTATATTATTCTTAAAGTTTATGTGCCTTTACAAGAAAACAGTTCTTTGGACCTTATAAATTTCTTATGAATATAAACCAAAGGAATAAAAACTTTATTGTCAGCTCCTGTCTATGGTGATGCTGGTGACAAAAATTTACATCTGACATTAAGATATGGAAAATCACATCTTCCTGTGGAAAGATATTTGTACATAAAATGCCAATTTGGCCTCTATTTGCTAAAGAGGCTATTGGAATAAATACTTCTGATATTTTGTGTGCTTATTGTGTCATAAAACACTGAGGGCAAATTCTCTCATGATTTGCATAACATTTTTGCAATTTATCAGTAAGAAGTATGAACATGGAGTGAGAAAATTGAGTGATTTGCATTTATGCATGTTACTTATTTAATGAACACCAATAAATACATATTGTCTACCATGCATGAAATTATAAAGAATTCTCATTTAATAGCTACTAATCTTATCCTATCCATCTATCCCAATGGCTCTCTAATCTAACTTCAAACACGTGCCCTGTACTGGACATTCATTACTTTAGGTGTAGTCTCTCCAAGGCTTTTTTTTTTTAAGTTTTTTTTTAAAATTTGTTTTAATTAGTTACCCATGACAGTACAATGACCTTGACATATCATACATTTGAAATAGATGGGATATAATACCTCATTTTTCTGATTATACAGGTTGCAGAATCACATTGGTCATGCATTCACATATATACACACAGTACTAATAATGTCTGTTTCATTCTACTATCCTTCCTATCTCCCCAACCTCTCCCCTCCCCTCCCTTCACTTCTCTCTACCTAATCTAGGGTAACACTATTATTTTTTTTTCCTCACATCTTCACTCATGTATTTTGTATAACAATGAGGGTCTCCTTCCACCATCCATGCAATTCCCTTTCTCCCTTCCTTTCCCTCCCACCCTTCTTCCCTATGTAGAGGTAATCTTCTTCCCATGCTCTTCTTCCCTACCCCATTTTGAGACACCCCCTTATATCAGAGAAGACACTCGGCATTTGTTTTTTTGGGGATTGGCTAACCTCAGCATAATCTGCTCTAATGCCATCCATTTCCCTGCAAATGCCATGATCTTATTATTATTTAGTGCTGAGTAATATTCCATTGTGTACATATGCCACATTTTTTAATCCATTCATCCATTGAAGGGCATCTAGGCTGGCTCCACAGTCTAGCTATTGTGAATTGTGCTGCTATAGTATATAGTCCAAGAAGAGGAATAGCTGGGTCAAATGGTGGTTCCATTCCCAGCTTTCCAAGGAATTTCCATACTGCTTTCCAAATTGGCTACACCAATTTGCAGTCCCACCAGAAGTGTATGAGTGTATCTTTCCCCCCCACAACTACCTTATATTAGACAAAGATGCTAAAAGCATACAATGGAGAAAGGATAGCAACTTCAACAAATGGTGCTGGGAGAACTGGAAATCCATATACAACAAAATGAAATTGAATCCCTATCTCTCACCATGCACGCTAGGAATCAAACCAGAGACTCTGTGTCTAATAGAAGAAAAAGTTGGCCCTAATCTCCATCACGTGGGGTTAGGCCCCAAGTTCCTTAATAAGACACCTATAGCACAAGAATTAAAACCAAGAATCAACAAATGGGTTGAATTCAAGCTAAAAAAGTTTTTTCTCAGCAAGAGAAATAATATCTGAGGTGAATAGGGAGCCTACATCCTGGGAACAAATTTTTACCCCTCACACATCAGATAGAGCTCTAATCTCTAGGGTATACAATGAACTCAAAAAGCTAAACACCAAAAAAAAAAAAAAATCACAAATAACCCAATCAATAAATGGGCCAAGGACCTGAACAGACACTTCTCAGAAGAGGATATACAATCAATCAACAAATATACGAAAAAATGTTCATCATCTCTAGCAATCAGAGAAATACAAATTAAAACTACTCTAAGATACCATCTCACTCCAAGGCTTTTAATCATTACAAAACCTAGCTATATTTATTATAAAGCAAAGCTTTATACAGTTATGGCAGGCCTAGAATCTAAAACAAGCACACAATAAGGCATAAGCATGCTCAAATTAAGAAATTGCTGCAACCTCTATTGTGCAACAAAATTGAATTTCTATCACTACAGCTCCATGTGTCTAGAGAAGGGGAAGACAAAAGGAAAATATACATATATACTATTGAACACTGACTCTGCCACAGTGCTTGTCTGGTGGTTATCTATCTCTGTTAGGCCTGCCAGAAAAAGTAACATGATAGCCAGGATTTGATCCTTCTTATTTTCTTTTATATTCATAATCTTCAAATTGTGTCTAAGCTCCAGTGACTTTCAAAGTAATTATTTTTTAAAGAATGAATATGTGAATGCATTAAATGAAGGGGTTAATTAATAAATGAGCATACATATGTATACACACACATATATACATACTTATGGAACAGAGACCATTATTTATTAGTTACAGTAAGTGGAGAGATTAGGGGAAATCTCTGGATTCTGATATGATCCTGGCCTACTGTTCCTGTGAGACCACAGTCGACAGCTCAGTATACTCCACGTGTATAACAGGTGTGGCTGACACATCACCCTGTACACAACAGAATATTTCCAAACACAGAGTCACTGCCACTTGAAGTAAAAGTTCACACCTACACTAGCTTTGATGTGACTGTATAATCTTGGGGACAAAGTAGAGGGTAGTGGGCAGAAGGAATATCATGTTTGACAAACAAGATGCCACTGCAAACGATATTGGGAATCAAAGCATTGTACCTGACCAAGGAGCAGAGGATGTAGCTCAGAGAGGAGAAGGAGACCAAAAGTAAAGTTCACAAGTATGGATGTGGCCAATCACTATCGCTTTAGCTATAATATTTGTGTTACCATTCCAGCAAGTGTGACCACAGGAGACACCACCAAAAATCATAACCATGATGATATTTACTCACCAAAAGAATAAGAAAGAAGAAGAAAAGTCAAAGAAAAATAACATGAGGGCCATAAAGCATTGATTGGATGGTACATACTAGAATTATTTTCCATGAGATCCTTTTTACCTGGGATTTTCTTCTGAGTGCTGCCATATCTAATAAACTAGGTATGGTGAAGGGGAAATAGCTAATACTTTGCACTAAGCCTAGGTACAGTATCTGATTCTTGTGTCTTGATCACATTATTTCTGTTGAAGTAGAATAGATGCACTAGTAAAATACATATTTTTTTCTGTTAATATAATTTTACCAGTCTTATGGAATAACAAAGAAGGATGGTTACTATGTCAGTATGTATAGAAGCCACAGAAGTTTAGAGAAATGAAGAAAACATAAGTGCCAAATTGTTATCCTTATTATTTTAGTAACTCTAAAACCATCAAAATGATTAAATTGAAGTAAATAATTGTTTTTTTTTAATTTTTTAATATTTATTTTTTAGTTTTTGGCAGACACAACATCTTCGTTTTTTGTATGTGGTGCTGAGGATCGAACCTGGGCCGCACGCATGCCAGGCGAGCGCGCTACCGCTTGAGCCACATCCCCAGCCCAGAAGTAAATAATTGTTTATTTCATATCTTTTAAAGATACTTATCTAACAGAACAATTTAAAGAAATAGAAATTTTACAATTGGTATTTTAAACCAAAGCCTTCTGTATCACTCAAATTTGTGCTTGTGTCTCTAGTTATCTCCATGTGCCTAGAGATATCTGAAAAGATTGTTGTTCTAATTGGACATTTATATTGTAATAAGATGAAAAACTAATCTGCAAAATTTATGAAACCATTCTATTTCTTTTGTAATCATACAGTTTTTCTTTCCATATAAAATCTTTGCTATTGCTTAACACTAAATTTTAATAATTTTATAGGCCATGCATGTATGTACACACACATACACACACACACGATGTACAATGATAGTAACAATCATATAACTATATATAACATAGGATCTTTACTATTCAACATTCTAACCTTATCTCACTGCTTAATTCAGAAATCATTTATTATAAGTTTCATAAAATGAATATTCTCCTAAATACTATCAGTGTTATTTCATGAAAAGTCATGTAAATAAAACTATCTGCTCAACAAAATTATAGTATACTTTAGTGACACTGGAATGTATTTGTATAGATATCATTTTTATTATATCAAAGATATAAATTTACATTATTTTATGTATAAAGCTTGGCAGTGCTGTCAGGACATGGGATTAAAAAAAGTAACTTTCATCTCTATTATGACATTGTAGGATAAATAAGGTGCTTCTTACAAATGTAGCCTTGTTTCTCTTTACATGTTTCAGAAAAATAAATTTCTTTTGATTTGTAAGATAGACAGGCTTGTTGCATCTGAGGTCTAGGAAGCTGAAACCTAAAACAGAAGAAATATCACAGTTATAATGGAATTCTATACAATCTCAAAGGGAATATACAACTTTTGTTTTATGCAAATTTTAAAATTACGATTTTTATGTAATTTAACAAAATTTAATTTCTGTCACTTAGTGGCACATACAAGTAAAATTTTAGTAAATTGAAAAGTTGATAGATTATAGAGGAACAGGCCCAGGAGTGGGCTATCTCCTCCCTGGCTCCAGAAAAGGGAAACTGCCTCAGTTTCAAAGGGAAGGGCCATCTCCTCAACTACATCAGTCTAGGATACCACCATGGAGGGTCAAGGGTTCACGGCCACCATTCTGGTGGGGCCAGAGGATAGAATACTGCAATGAACCAAAAAGAATTATTCTTGAATCTTAAAATTTAATGGACTTTTCCCTAATAAATTTCAGACTTACTTGGGATTCATTATGACCCCTTTATTCTGTCTGATTTTTCCTTTTGGAATGGAAATATTTGTCCTATTTTTGTCCCACCCTTATGTCCTAAGATACAATAAATTATTTGGTTTCCTAAATTCTCAGCAGGAGAGGAATTTTGCCACAGAATGATTCATGTACCAGCTCTGATTTTGATGACAGTTAGATGAGATTGTAGACTTAAAGTTGATGCTGAAATGATTGAAGACCTTTGGAGTTGTTGAGAATGTATTTTGCATATGAGAAAGATGGAAAGTTTGGGGAGTCAGAGGGCAATGTATTATGGATTGAACTGCATTTCCCCAAAACTCAAATGTTCAGATCCTCAGAAAGTTTGGAGATAGGGTCTTTGAATGGGTGATGTAAAATGAAATAATTATGATGAGCCCTAATTCAATATGACTGGTGTCACAAGAGAAGGAAACCTGGGCATAGTGCAAAGATATAGGGAGAAGATGGCTGTCTGAAAGTCAAGGAAGAGAGACCTCAGAAGAAATCAACCTGCTGACATCTTGATCTCAGCCTCTGAGAGAATATGTGTCCTCCGTTTATACTACCCAGTCTGTGGTACTTGGTTATGGAAGCACTAGAAAACAAATGTGGTTTATAAGAAAGATTCTCAGGGAGAGCAGATTAAGGAATTAAATGTTAGTTACTTCTAGAATCTACAATTCTGTATATAAGATTGGTTTCAAATCACTGTTTCTTTCCTCTGTTACTCAAATGTCCTTGAAATTAAGGCCCAGGTATCCTTCATTAATGTTCTTTTTGATAAATGCAGTTCCTTGAGGCAAACATTATACTTAAAGTAAGCCCTTTATGTCAGGTAGATACTTACAAATAAGGGGGCAGAGCTGAATCATTTTCCCATACCCACTGATGGAAAATTTCATTATAGTAGGCTCCAATCCAAAAGAAAGAGTTCAAAGAGAAGAAATTCTGGTGGTAAGAAAAAAATACACAAATTATTATTTTTTCATCAACTGCATGAAAGAACCTTTAAAAAATTCAACATCATATGTATATTTATTCAATTCCTCCAGCCCACAAAATCATTAATGTATCCTGTAGTACAAGACTATTTTAGATGCTGATGAGTAGCAGTGAAAAACACAACATCCTTATTTTATAGGAGATACAGAAAATAAATAAATTTTTTTGAGTAAAAATAATAGTGTTGGTTTGAAGAAGAAAGGAGTGAGATTTTTAAAAGAACAAAACCATCACAGATTTCTTGGAGATTAATTTTACCCCCATTATCTACCTCTTTGGGTGCATAATAAAAAGGATCTTCTCTATTAGGAAAACTGACACAATGGGACCTTTACTTCAATGCTGATGCACATTTAGGACCCATTCTCCATCTTCTCACATAGTGTTCCAGATTCGGATGTACTGGTCACACAATGGTATTAGATTTGGAGCTACAAAGGCTATACCCTATTAGTGCTGGGATATACCAGGTTCCTTTTCTTTGACTGAGGTATTCCTTATAATATCTGGCTCTCTCTGGATTTATTATTTATAATTTTTTATAAAGGTAATATCAAATATTATTTCAAAATATTTTTCTCTTTTTTTACCCACCACATAGACCTATATTTTGCATGTGAAAATGGAAACAAAAGATAAATGAGTATTATCCTTCAGCTATTGGTCTAGTGCTGAATTTGGGCAAATGTTAAAGATTCCTCAGTTCAATCTAGTTAATCAATCTCATCTATCTCTCATATTATTATGACACTCGGTAAAAACTCACCATCTCATCTCTGTTTATCTTTAGGAGGCTGGAATTTAGAGATAAGCAGACATTTTGACTCTCCCTCCAAGATAACTGTTCCTTGGAGAAGTAATAACAATTGCATCGGAACCAGACCCAATTCTTTGGACAAGGATGACAGCAAGGTCCTAGGCAAAGATTCTTTGTCATTGCACTGAGAAGATACACAAACTCTGATTTTGTTTATTATTTGTTAAAAACACACCTTATGAATATACACTTTATGATAGCATAGGAATCTTACGTAAAGATGATAAAAATAGCTGAACCATTAGTTTTCTTACTTCTATATCATTATAGCATTTACAGACTGAAATACCTTCATGTTACATCACCAGATTAATTTTTTTGGCTGGAAATTTTGACCTTTCAACATAAATTCTGCCTTTTCAAAAATTTGTTCTTATGTTATTTAATTTTATGATCTATAAACCTATGAGATCTCACAAGAATTTCTCAAATGAATTTATTTGAAAGTTACATAAACTTCTATCTCTTAAAGTTGTTTGGGGGACTATATTTTATAACTTCTGTAAGTACATATTGTAGTACCTTGCTATAAAGGCTCTATGTTTATGGAACTAATACAAATAATAAAAGTATTTTCTTCTTAAATCAGTATAAGAAGCCAAGCTATAAAATCATTGCCTACCTTTTTGTTGCATTGAGGAAGATGTTCTTTCAGAAAATGCTACAAAAATAGTCAATATCATAATTAGATCTTCCTTTAAATTAATACATCAAAATGAAATAATAAAAGTCTATATTCTATAAGCATAAGTCAGAAATTTTAAAGAAAATTTAAAGGTAAGTTTTTTGTTTCCCCCCCCCCCCCTGATGCTGGGAATTGAGCCTAAGGAAGGCCTAGCACATCCCAGGAAAATGTTCTACCACTGAACTACCACCCCAGTCAAGGTAGAATTTTGATGAGGTAAAATTGTGAACCTAGTTTCTGCTTATCATATTATATGAAAGAAATAATGCTTCCAAGGGAAGACAATTTAGAGGACTCTCTGGTTACTCACAGTTTGCAGTAAAAAAAGCCATTGTAATGGTTGCAACCATCAGGAGAAGGAACATGACACCAAGCACACAAGAAATAAGCCTCCATGGAAAAGGTGAGCAACCCCCTAGAAGAAACAAAATCAGAGGCAGACTCTTGATATAAAAACAGTGCTGAGCAATTGGTGAAAGCGACCACCGTCTCTCACTGTCTTGACAAGGTCATAGTGAAAATAAGTGCTGGCAAAGCCACTCTCCCACTGTCTTGACAAGGCCACAGTGAGAATGAATGCTGGCAAAGCCGTGCTGGTTGGTGGGAAACCGAAACCATGAGACCCTTTTATATGTAATTGGGACTTCTCATTTTCATGCTCATGTTCTTGACAGGAGACATGAGTATGTTAAATGCCATAAGGCTGTTCTACTACCTTGAAGGCTGTTCTACTACCCCTCAGCATGTCAAGGACAAAGTAGAAAGCTGCTCTACTATCTCAGCACATTGGGGACAAAATTGATAATGGACAGCAATCATTCTCTGAAAGGTCACAAGAATTTTAGGCACCACATTGATTAAAATCAACTAGAACCTAAGCCCATATTTCCGGCCTTTTAGAAAACCTAATCATTATACAAAACCCACCATATGTAGTTTTATTCTTGATTTAGGAAAATTATGTTATACACTTAGGAAAGTCAAGACATATAAGGATACATTCTTTTCATTTCTATAAACCCTTTTTTACTTCACATAGGGATTTATGATGAGCATACTTAATATTGGTGGAAAGTGGACTGATGTTTAGAACTTACTTTTTATTGAGAAAGATTATAAAGATATAAGAACTAGTGCACCTTGACTGAGAAACAAAGAAACTCTTTGAGAAAGTAGCTCAACCAGTTTTATGAGAATAAATTTAGGAATTAATTAAAGTAGCTTTATAAGACATATTTTTAGAATAATGTTAGAAATATTATTCTATTTAGATTCTTGGGTTTAGAATTCTTAAGTTTTTAGCTGTATGGGTTTCTGATATGCTTTAAGAATGGCTTATAAACTTTAGGATATTTTAAGTGTAAGACTTAAGGGGACTTTTTTAGATGGGAATTTTAGATTAGAAATAAAAGTGCAGGTGTACTTTAAAACTTAAAGGTTAATGATAGGTTAGGAGACTTAGTCTGGTTACGTAGTTTGGCATTAGTTAATAGTACATCTTGGGAAAATCTGAAAAAATGTAAATTAGTAACGCATTTTATTAATGATTGATAATTAAAAAGTCACATCCTGGAAAACTGTAAATTGATGTTACATTTTTCTATACCCCTAATTATGGTTAAGGAAACGTTATGTCTTGGCAAAGTTTTGAAATTGTATAATCAATGACGTATTCTGAATCTATAATGATGAGAAAAATTGTAATAAAAGATGACACAGAGAAAGCTGCATTAGAACTCTTTCTAATGGAGATTGCTCCAACGAAATGACTCCTGTCTCATGGTTTAGCCGACACCACTCATCCTTCAGGACTCCCCAGACCCCGCTAGGGCTGGACACCAGCAAGCAATCAATAACAGAAATATAAATATCATAACAAAATATGAGCAAATAATTCACAATTTATATAATGAAATAATGGAAACAAAAAAATTAATGGCCGAGTACAGTCCTTAATTCATAAATTCTAGCTCCAAATACTCCTCTTTATTATTCCTCTCCACCTAAGAAAAGGAAAAAAAACACTGAGCAAGAAAACTTTATGAAACCAAAATGAGAAATGATTCATTTAAGCACTGAGTTCTTTCCTATACAAAAAGTAAAAGTGGTTTTTGATTTTATTTCTTGATGGACTCAAACTAAAAAGTTTCTTCTTAGCAAAAGAAACAATCTGTGAGGTGAATAGAGAGCCTACATCTTGGGAGCAAATCTTTACCCCTCACACATCAGATAGAGAACTCATCTCTAGGATATTTAAAGAACTCAAAAAGCTAAGCACACACACACACAAAACAAATAACCCAATCAATAAATGAGTCAAGGACCTGAACAGACACTTCTCAGGAGAAGATATACAATCAGTCAACAAATATATGAAAAAATGTTCATCATCACTAGCAATTAGAAAAATGCATATCAAAACCACTCTAAGATTTCATCTCACTCCAGTCAGAATGGCTATTATGAAGACAAACAACAATAAGTGTTGAAGAGGATGTGGGGAAAAGGTACACTCATACACTGCTGCTGGGACTGCAAATTGATGCAGCCAATATGGAAAGTAGTATGGAGATTCCTTGGAAAATTGGGAATGGAACCACCATTTGACCCACTATACCTCTCCTGGGTCTATACCCAAAGGACTTAAAAACAGCATACTACAGGGACACAGCCACATCAATGTTTATAGCAGCACAGTTCACAATAGCTAAACTGTGGAACCAACCTAGATGTCCTTCAATAGATGAATGGATAAAAAAAATGTGGCATATATACACAATGGAATATTACTCAGCACTAAAAGAGAATAAAATCATGGCATTTTCAGGTAAATGGATGGCGTTGGAAAAGATAATGCTAAGTGAATTTAGCCAATCCCAAAACAACAAATGCCAAATGTTTTCTTTGATATAGGGAGGCTGATTCATAGTGGGATATGGAGAGGGAGCATGGGAGGAATAGACGAACTCTAGATAGGGAAAAGGGGGTGGAGGGAAAGGCAGGGGGCATAGGGTTATAAATGATGGTGGAATGTGATGATCATTATTATCCAAAGTACATGTATAAGGACATGAATTGGTGTGAATATACTTTGTATACAACCAGAGATATGAAAAATTATGCTCTATATGTGTAATAAGAATTGTAAGGCATTCTGCTGTCATATATTAAAAAATAAAAAAAATAAAAAAGTAAAAGTGGCTACATTCTAAATTAGGAAGTTGAATAAGTACCACTTACTTATTTTTTCCTTCCACACTTCCTCCTTTCCTTAACTCAGTGAACATATATGAAAGTGTACAATGTGTTATGAAGGATAATACCCAGGAACAGGGACACAAGTATGAGATGCAGCCTCCACTGAGTCCTCATTTTCTACAACATTTGCTAAGTTAACACTTAAGAACTGAATTCTAGTATCCCTCTTCCTGCATCTGTATTGCAAATACCTGATGAAAGATGTTGAACAGCTAGTGCTCATTCACATCTAAAATCTGAATCTTCACCTTGATTCTCCAATGCATTTGACAATTATTTTATCTTTTGTCAAATTCTCCTATTTTTTTGTCACCTCAATTCTTTTTTCAGATATTCACCATTATGCCATCTGTCCTTATGGGAAATGAACAAAGATCAAAAGACTAAAAAAAAAAAAAAAAAAAAAATGGAGTTTCTATGTAGGTAAAATGTCAAAAGCTTGTTTCATTTTCCTTGAGATTTTCTTGGGTTGATAATCTCTGTAGATTTTAAACTACTGGAATTCCTATTGAATCACTTTACTTCACTTTCTTCTCTGTCATGGCAGAAAGCAAGATCTTAAAGGTACTTCTCACTGAGAATATTCCCATCTTTGGAGAACTAAGCATGAAACAAAGTAGGACTTTAGATGAAGGAAGCATCTTGGCATACAAGTTTAACCAAACTAGCTAGATATTTATGACTTGGCATGATTATTTTTTTACCAAATTATTTAGGATGGAAAATTGAAGGTATTCTTTCCTGGCATCTCCTTGAGGCTGCATCTCCTATGTGTTTCCATCAGGACTCAGAGCAGCCATGCAAGGACCACATATTTAAGCATTCAAATTTAGGAATTTGAGAAATGGCCCTTAATCTTGCCACAAGGTAGAAACACAGCAACCTGATCTGTGATACATAAAAATAATTTAATAAAAAGCCAGATAAAAAACAATTTATATAACAAATTTTATAACTAGAAAAATTACTATAAACATTTCAGCTATTCTCAAATTATATGAGTAAATAAAACACAATATTAAAAAATGAAACAGAATTTTTGGAACTTGATTTAGTAGTCTGGAGTAGTTTGGAAAATAGGCAAGTAAAAATAATAGAATTCTGAAACTTAATTAAAGGTCTCATTCTACTTTTTGATTAACAGCAAATAGACTTAATTAGCAAGATTGATTTTTAAAGTGAGAGAATTGAAAAAGAAGTCCCAGAGATAGACCCTAATACATAAAAGTGTTAAAATATAATAAAGGACACACACACACACACACACACACACACACACAAATACCTCCATGAGTTACTAAGAAAAAAACTTGCAACTAATAATCATAGCTTTCCATGACAGCTATACAAAATTTATACTTTATTTTCTTTCTTTTTTTTAATGAATATATGAAGTTTAGTAGACACAAAATATGACTGTATCATAAGCATATAATTGTACAACTATAATTCTATTCAAAACATAATATTATCAGCATCCATAGGGTCAAAATATAACCATTATCCTTATTTCCATTGCCACTAAATAATTTTGCTCGGTTTGAACTTGATATAAATAAAGTCATACAGTACATGAAAAAGTTTTGTATATGAAAAGTTTCTTTATATTTCTACTTATTGTGGAAAGTAACATATATAGAATATTAAATTATACACTCCAAATCCTTATAAGCAGAAAACAGTTTCATAGGGGACTTCTAAAATGTTTACTCTACTTTTAACATTTTCTTTAATAAACATGTATTATTCAATCGACAAATAACTATAAATTATGCTTTTTTTCCCTTTAAAGCCAAACACTTTGAATTTTATTACCAAAAACTCACACAAAACGTGCGTATGTTTTTGTAAAAAATAATCCAAGGAAATCTTGGCAACCTAATTTTTATAGCCACAAGAAATTGGCTTCTACTATTTGAAAAGCTTGCCACCTTACTTCTAATTCTTCATATCTTTCCCAGATCATTAGGTCTGAAAAACATAAGCTGGCTGCAATCAGATGCAGAGTTCCAGAAACAAGACTTAAATGCAACTTCCCATTACATTAGCTGCATTAAATCTTAAATAGGGGTTAATTTTGTTGTTGCTATATGCAATTTGCGATCCAAATTTGAAATAAATACATGTGTCTTTTATTTGTTTCAGGAATATGGAACAATCAAGTATCAGCTGTATACCACCCTCTGACACAGAAGTCAATCCAGTCCAATTATATGTTGACTTCTTGCACAATAAAATTCTCAGGCCTCAGAATAACTTAAGTCTTAAGTTCAGCCTCTCAAGCAGCTGTGCCCCATAATTTTTTCCACACTTTGACACCTTGAAGTCTGTAGCAAGAGAATTTCCAACTTTTTTGACTTATTCAAATTCATGTCTAAAGGAACTCTAACCTAAGCAATGAAATGTCTAAACTATACAGATTACCTTTCAATTTATTTATAATATTGACCATTTGGCCTTTGTCATAATCTACATTGTCAATACTCAATATTTTACTTGCATTTCCTACTTAGATTTGGAAAAAGTTTTTGCTGTATTTTTGTATCTCCCCAATACATTACACAGATTACTACATAATTTTCATTCTGTATATGTTTATTAAATATAATATTTTACCTTTGCTAATGATATTGCTTGCCATGTTATTGTGTTTTTTTAGTAAAGTTTCTGGTCTTTTACCTTTTTCCTGATGAATGGCAATTTGTTCAAACTTAATTTAGTCTTCATACCTTTTTTCATTGTGTGTTTCTGCTGATAATTCTCATTCAGTGTAGTAAAAGTTGTAGGCTCCTCATTCATTTTCATATAGGAAAAAACACTGTGAAATAAAGAGTGCAAATATTGATATGTCACTCTATAATTTGGAAAGGTATCTTATAATAAAAACAGGGGGAAATATTTTTTAATATTTGTGTTGAAGAATAGATATGCCTGTTAATTTTTATAGATAAAATTAATGCCATTAACAAAGGATTGAAAACACAATTATAGCTCTGCAATGATTTTATTTCAAAAAATTCTAAGTCTATCCCTCTCTAGCATCATTGTAATTTAAATAAAATAAAAGCATTAATTTTATCATTTGTACTCCCTAGTAAACATTTCACAATTGATGATTAAAGCATGAGGTTAATATTTGCATTTCATAATTAATAAATATTGGACAAAGCATCTTTCTTTCATATTATTTTAGGATTTATTTTTATGTGTTGATTTTTTGTAGTTATTTATGTATATATTATTTTTTTAGTTTTCTTTTTTGTTGTTTTTATTTATTTTTTAAATACACCACAATAGTGGAATGCATTACACTCCTTATTACACATATACAGCACAATTTTTTGTAACTCTGTATATAAAGTATGTTCACACCAAATTATGCCATTATACATGTACTACTCTTTTTTTTTTTTCATTACAATTCTTAATACAGATAAATGCCCAGAAATGAAATTCACGGGTTGTGGGATAATTACATGTTTAGTCTTTTTTTTAAAAATTTCTTTTATTAGTGCATTACAATTAAACATACTAGAGAGATTCATTGTGACATTCATACATGCACAACATAACATATACCCTATTGATGCATACAGTCTGTTGATTTACTAGTTTATTTCTTTATTTTATAAAAATCTTCTTTATTTTGAATAAGTAAATAAGGAATTTAATTATAAAAAAGTAATTAAGACAGACTAAATACCAAAACATGTAAGTTTCAAAGTTTGAAAATTTTTGGTTATAAATATTTATTAAAATTGGTTTTCGGCATCAAAACTGGCAAAGCACTGATCAGGACAAAGTCTATTATTTGTCAGACTTTAAAATACCTTACTTGCCAGGTGTGATGGTACACGCTTGTTATCTCAGCAGCTTGGGAGGCTGAGGCAGAAAGATCATGAGTTCAAAGCCAGCCTCAGCAATTTAGGGAGGCCCTAAGAAACTTTGACCCTGCCTCTAAATAAAATATTTAAAAAAAGAGCTGGAGATATGGCTCTTTGTGGTTAGAAAAAAAAAAAGAAATAATAATAATAATAATATCTGACTCAACTTTTCAAGCTTTTACTAAGAAAAACTACTAGACATGCAGCAAAGATTGGGAAGAAAAGAGTCAAAGAAAGAAAAACTTTGATAACTTGAAGCCAGAAAATAAACTGCAGTTTTTAAAGTTAAAAATGTCTAAAAACATACAGAGTCTCCACTAAAAATTTCCTAGTGATTGTTTGTTTTAAAAGTTGAAGGAGGGAAAATTATGAATGAAGTAGAAAAGGTTAAACGTACCTGAAATGAGGAAGAAATTTCAGAAACTTGAACTAAAAATTTAATATGTGGGAAAGTGAGGAGGCAGGACCTGGTAAATTAGAGCAGAAATAGAAACTGTCAATCCCAGTAGAAAAAACGTGCTTGTTGTATCACATTTCATAGTTAACTACAGGAACTTCACAACCACAATATAGGTGAGAGCACTGCTTGGAAGCCAAGCAAAGTAATGTATTTCATTTCAAGCCATGATAAGCATAGAGAAATTAATTTCTTATGATTGGAGAATCTGGTGTCTTTTCAATTACAGTAACCAGAGTAAGTCTATTCACTTCAATAATCTACAAAACAGCAAATTAATTTGCTGCAACTTTCAAGAATAGTATTTGTTTACTGAAAAACAGGTATGTTGTCTCTGCAGAATTAAGGACAAATACATCATTAATAAACCCTTAATTCTTTGTATTTTGAAAGAGAGATTATAGGAAGATGTATGTGGCTCAATCATAGAAACATATTGCTGACTTGTGCTCTTTCTTTCTTACTGATGCACACTTTATATTCTCATTTTTATTTTTCTCTGTTATAATGGTTTTGAAAAAAACTCACATTTGTCCAGTGTATTATATACTTTCCCCCTAAAAATATGAATGGTATTATTTGTACACATACATATAAACTTATAAAAATGACCCAATAAATAAATTAAATGTGATTATACAAGAGATATTTTAGGTATATAAAGAAAACCAAAGAAAAGAACATTTTTATTATTAATGACATTCAGAAACAGTACAAATAGTTATGAGAAGTAAGAAAGGTAATCACCATTCTTAGAATAGTTTCATAATGTTCTAATGTGCAGAGGCTCTTTGGGCCATATGTAGTTTTCTTAAAATAGCAAAATAAATTTAAAAATCTGTTGTTTGGAAGTGTTTTGTTTATTTTGATCAAAACTAAAACTCTGTTGCCTTTTAAACTATTACCAAAATCTCAAGTCATAAGAATTAATAATCTTTCTCCACATCTTATTTCTATGAATACAATGGTGGTAAGGATCAAGAGGTACTATATTTAAACTCAGGTTTATGGGGTGCTAGAGATCCCAAATATAAACTTTTTACCATATTAAATAAGGTGTTGATGATAGTAACTTAATGAAACATGGCACTTGTAACTGTGAGTTCAGTTAAAGCTCTTTCAATGATCCTTTCTTTATAAGACTTTCTCCCAGTGTGTTAGCTTTTCTTTACTGTATCAAAATACCTGAGAAAAATAATCTTGCAAAGAAGAAAGTTTTTCTTTTTTTTTTTTTTTTTTTTTTTTACATTTTTCAGACGTTTCAGTCCATGGTTGATTGGCCCCATCACTTTGGGGGCTGAGGTGAGAAGGTACATAATGATGAGGAAGAAGCATTTAGTGAAGCAAAAATATATTAGGCAGGGAGAGAAAAGGACTGGAGTCCTTCTATTTCCTTTGAGGGCATACTACCAAGACCTAACACTTCTTATAAGACCCCATTTCTTGAAGTCTCCACTGTCAGCCAATTATACCAAGCCAGGGATCAGATCTTTAATACACAGGCCTTTGGAGACATTCAGTATATAAACTAAAGCACCTGATATAGACCTAAGACCATTTACATTACCCTAATAATTCATTTCAATGCATTATCTGTTTTTGAGACTACTTTGCACTAATTTGCCTCAACGTATAATGGAAGTTAATAAGCAGAAGGATATTGCAAAAACAAAGTAAAAATACAGACTGTTTCAAAATTAACTGATATATTAATAACCAAACTTTATCTATGTCAAAAGGCAAGTTTGAGATAAAGTGACTCAGGAGCAAATATTCCTTTCTCTTTATCTAGTTACAGACCCCAGATAGACAAACCGAAATAGTAAAATTATTTTTTTGAGACATAATATTTGTGCATCTTAATGTACATTTTCTTTTTTGAACCGGGGATTAAATCCAGGGGCACTGGATCATTGAGCCACATCCTCAGCCCCATTTTGTATTTTATTTAGAGACAGGGTCTCACTAAGTTGCTTAGTACCTTGCTAAATTGCTGAGGCTGGCTTTGAACTCACAATTCTCCTATCTCAGCCTCCTGAGCCCCTGGGATCACAGGCATGCACTACCGCACTGGGCCTTAGCATACATTTTTGTAACTCATTACATGTACACAATATATAATAATCAAATGAAGGTAATAAGCACTTCCATCTCTTCAAACATTAAACATTTTCATGTGTTGGGAATTTCATCTGTTCTAGTCATTTGGAAGTGTAGATTATTTAAATCAATAGTTGCTCTCCTATGCTACAGAAAAACAGAATTCCTTCTCTCTGTGTTGTGGTGCCCCTTTTTGAACTTCTTTCCCTCCACAATCCCCCTCTTCATTTCCTGGACTCTATGAACTATTTTATTCATCTACGTGATTCTTTTTAGTTTTCACAAATGAGAATATGTGGCATTTGTCTTTCCACGTGTCTTATTTCATTTAACATAATGACCTTCAGTTCCATCCATGCTGCTGCAAATGACAGGGCAGGATCTTTAATGGAAATGGTATGAATTTCTGAAAGGCTCTGGAGGCCGTTAGTTTGTCAGATGTTTGTAAGCAAAACAACCCAGGGGAGCTTTTTCTTTTGCTCATCCTTTCCTAGTTTCCAACCCCATTCATAAACGTACTCTCCCCAAAAAGAGAAAGCAAAAAAGTTACCACCACCATCTTAAGATTCAATAAGACTCGAGAGAGAACTTGAGATGTAAATGCTTCTTATTAGGTTAACAGCCTAATGCACCAGAACAGGTATAAAGACAGGAACACAGGACAATTTAATCCTGAGGAATCTTAGCATGGTAGACATATATATATATATATAATCAAAGTTAGTCTACCTTAGAGCAAACAGAAGGACGACACTACTCGCTTCCTTAAAGTTGAGATCTACAAAGCCAGAGTGATTGCACCTTCTTTGTACTGAGATAAAACTACAAAGGGAGCAGTTGAGTTAAGAAACATATTACAAGCTGTCTTGACCTTCTTCCATCCCTGGGCTTGACAAGTTCAAACTAAATGGACTTTTCCTGCATGAAAGGTATAACCACAGCCCTCAGGTCATCTTCACTGCAAATGTGTGGTGAATGTGAGAAGAAACTTGTTATGTTTTGTAAAAAGTCAAGTGTGAAATAATTTCACACTTTTTCTTGTCAAGATTTGTCAAGGTTGCTTCTCAACATATTTTTTAAAAATTAATGAATTGCCCAAGATTTTGTACACTGCTTCTAAAGAATTCCTATCTTTAATTTTGTTGGAGGCATTTTGATATTATGGCTAAAAGCACATGTTTGGTATCACATTAAGTCAGTATTATCAGTTCAACTGAGCCATTTATAATTTTTGCAATTTTAGTCCAGCTTAACTCTATGATTTATTTCTTAATATGTAAAAATAAAGAGAATAAAAGTATTCTCATCAAAGAATTCTTCTAGAGATTAAATGAGAAAACATGTTAACTACTATTATTGGGCTTTTTGTTTCTAATTCAAAACTTTTTTATTTTTTGGTTTAAAGTTTTGTAATTTTTTTCTTTCAGAAAATATCTCATGAAGTAAAGTCCTCATGATATAGCAGAATCAAAGACTTCCTTAATTGTGTAATACAAGGGATAATACCAACTCCCCTTTCCTATCTTAATGCCTAATTTAAAATCTTTCCCAATTTTATGCTGATGCCATAAAATTCATACTTGAAAACACATGCACTTTGTTCATGGCTAGATAAAGTATATTTTGTCAGTCATGTATACTTTATTATATATGATATAATTGTAGATGCAAATGAAACTCAAAAATGGTATTTTCAGGTGTGAAAGAGTTAAAATCTATTGTAATAGATAATGATGTTCCAACTAAGCACATGGTTCAAATGAAAAAAAAAAGTACAACCATCAATAAGAAAGTATGTTTAAATATAATTTCATACAAAACACATATTAAAAAATCTGAAGTTTATAAATGTCAGTAAACAACATTTACTGTCATCAGAATTGTTTTGACACAATACTGCCCTCTGTGCCATTAAGAACAATGGCCACATAATATTTCTTAGAAAAGTATCCCCTAAGGTCTCTAACTTCTGATGCTCATTAGTGAAATTCTATGCTGGATATTATTTGCTCTGTGAAAGTTCTGTAGAAGTTGTCTTTGAAAGTCTTGTAGAAAAAGAAAAGATTGTAGAAATTTTAGGAGAAAATACAGGATTAGAAAATTCTATTCCATTTGCTAATGATACTAAAATCATCTGTTGACTTAAACATGAAGGACCAACAATGTACACTATCTTTATTACTACTCTGCATTGTCACTGTCACCAGTCAGAATCAAAGTCAGAAATAAGCAGATCGCAACTGCCTCTTAGCCAACAGTAATGGTAAGACTCCTCATATTTTAAGATGTATCCTGATATCATAGATGTTAAAATGTGAAAACAACATATCTTAGATTCATTGAAACAGATAAAAGAAAGAAAATGTGAAGGTGAAGCAAAGAATAAAAAAAGAATAATGAATAAGTATTATAAA